AACTTTTCTAGTCTTGTCTGCAAGATCCCTGGTTTCCTTTACCTTTGAGTAACACAAAGTAATATTCCCTATACCAGTTTTAATCTTGCTGTGTACGGTCCTCGCTTCAGGTAGTTTAAGGAAGTTTCTTATTTCCTCAATTCTCCTACCCAATGTATCCAGTTCCCTTTTTTATCACTCGCTAATTCCCTCAATAGGGTGGTTGCGTTTTCCAACGTATCACTCTCCAGGCTATCCACCCATCTAATCCTTTGTTTCTTCACTTGCGACTCCACCAGTCTGTCAATAACCACGTCCATCGGAGCAACACCATCACCCCCACTTCCAGTAGCTTTCCTCGCTGTGCCCCGATCAATTTCCATTGCCGAATCCGAAGTCATCGTCAGCGTAATCAGATCGTGCTCAGACCTATTTTCTCTCCCCTGACTTAGCTCCATTTCGTTTGTTCGTCCCCAAAGAGTGTGGGCTGCCTCTAAAGCCCGTATTACCCTTCTAAGACGTCAGATTTCCACTAGAATTGTCACTCCGTGGTAAAAGTGTACACCTGAGGTGTCCACCAAATTTAGGGCCAATCGGCCCAAAATTGGGGAAAATCCCTAGAAAGGGATTTTATCACTACGAAGTGAGGGCGTACCTCCTAGAGAATCCGAAAACAAAATTTTTTCCGAAAAAACCAACTTCCTAGCTCCAATACCAACCGAGATAGAGCTAACTCAAAAAGTGAGGTGGGGGGGTCAAATCCCACTTTCTGGTGGTGATTCGCCAGCAGCCCACTGGATGTTTGCCACCGGTCCGGTCGATGTCGAAGGTATATTGAATGTGCTATGCACTTTCTAAGCTTCCGGGGGGTGGGGTAGCTAAGAAAAATCGACTAAGTCCAAATACTCCGCGTACGTTATAGCGAACGCCGTACTGTTGTACCACCAGGGCTTACCTAGAAATGGTACAACTAACACACACACGAATATGGATGCCACCAGTAGGCCGTTGGCGTGGCCGTCGGCTCTATTCTAAAACCACGTGTTTGTAATACTTACATATTACGTAGCCTGTGCCAAACTCAGTAATAGTTAATTACGTGTAACACGTTCAATTTTGGTCGGACCGACTCGAAAACGACACCGGTCCGAACGCGCACTTTTTAGCACGTTTCAAAATTTTAATTTCAAAAAACTGTTAACTAGAACGCTAGTAATAATAGAAACACAGCGGAGCGACGCATAAACACATGTTCACTGTACAACAGCCACCGCCATTCATTGCCATGAGGACTTACCAAAGGGTGAGAAAGCGCAGGGGTCAAGACGAGTGCAGGTATCTACAAATTGCAGCTAAGGGGCTCTAAAAAATCTTAGGATAGCTATCAGGAAGAGTCAGGAGGAGAGCTGGAAAAAGCTGTGCGAGACGGTGGAGGATCGTCCTTGGGGTATTCCGTACCGTATAGTTATGAAGAAAATGGTTGGTAGAAGACCTATACCTGGACTGACATTGCCAGGCCGGTTACAGAGCATTCTACGGGGACTTTTCCCCGTCAGACCGATGGTCGATTGGCATATATGTGAGGATCAAGCTGAAATAGAGGAAGTGTCAGAAAGCGAGATCAAAGAAATTGCACAAGCTCTACCATCGAATAAAGCGCCCGGCCCGGACGGCATTCCGGACTTCATATTAAAGGCGTTATGTACCAAGAAACCGAAAGAAGTGGCAGAAGTTTGTAATAATTGCCTCAGAAGGGGGTGCTTTCCAGATAAATGGAAAGAATCCAGACTGATACTGATCAGGAAAAAGGACAAGCCGCTAGATCTACTGTCTTCCTACAGGCCACTGAGTCTAGTGAACACCATTGGGAAGTTGTTTGAAAGGGTGTTGAAGAGACGACTGGAGAAGCACCTCGCGCAACCTTCATTCCAAATCTCGGAAAACCAGTTTGGATTCATGAGGAGGAGATCAACTATCGACGCCCTGGAGAGGGTGAAGGATATAGTCCACGCGGCGAATGACGGCCCGCCGAGACGGAGGAAACTATGTGGTTTGGTGTCATTGGATATTGCGAATGCATTCAATTCCGCCCCATGGGAGAAGATAGGAGAAGCTCTAGGAAGGAAGAAAGTACCCTCATACCTGAGGATAGTGTTACGGGAGTACTTTAGGGACAGAAAACTCCACACGGACGAGGGGAAATTGGATGTGTTGTGCGGTGTCCCCCAAGGATCCACTATTGGACCATTGCTGTGGAACATTTTCTACGATGAGATACTGGGCATAGCATTGCCGGAAGGTTTTCACATGGTGGCGTTTGCAGACGACCTTGCCATCATAGGCACTGCCTCCAGTAGTTCTATGTTGGAAGAAGAGATGAACTTTGTACTATTACGCGTAAGCAGATGTATGGTGAGTAACGGATTGCGGCTTTCTTGTGGCAAGACGGAGGCGATTATGCTAACTAAGAAGCGAGGATACATTAGACCGAATTTCACAATACAGGGACACCAAATAGCGATAAAGAAACATATTGTGTACCTGGGAGTGGTGCTCAGTGCAAATCTAGGTTACAAGGAACACATCACAAGGAAAAGAGCAAAAGCGCTGGTTACCGCTTCTGCCTTGGCGAGGCTGATGCCGAACATAAGGGGACCCAGTCCGGACAGGAGGAGGCTGCTAGCATCCGTGGTCAATAGTCTGCTGCTCTATGCAGCCCCTATATGGAGCCCCTCTTTGGTGTACACAAACCACAGGCAATTACTCCTGAGCCCGCAGCGTGCCATCGCATTAAGAGTGGTCAGTGCCTACAGGACAGTGTCGACGGAGGCGATTATGGTGGTGGCCGGGGTAACACCAGCACACTTACTTGCACGCAGCCGGAGCAGGTTGAGGCAAGCAGAACGTTCAGGGGAGGCATATCTTACGCAAACGATGCAAGAGGACGTCATGGAATGGTGGCAGGCTGAATGGGAGCTTATGACTTTGGAAGCATACCTGAATGCACAAGTCACACCGGAGAGCATGGTTCGAATCATGCTGAGGAGCAGACAGGATTGGGATCTGGTAAGGACATACGTGGAGAACATACTGGTGACAAAAGAGTGCGAGGAAAGGCGGAGGCAGGGTACGTGACTCGAAGGTGGCGGTCTGGTGAGACGACCTAAGAAGATAAATGGACAGATCAGGGAGCAGGGCTCAAAACTGTATATTTGTAATGTAAATAATGTACATAAATAATGTACAGTAGAATTAAGATAATAAATGTAGCAAAATAAGAATGTTTAGTATTAGAATAGATTAAAAACATAGCAAATGTAAAAGGAGTTATTAAAATAAATAAACGATGGCATCTCGGGGGAAAGCAAAGCAAAGGCAGTACTCCCCCCTGATGTCGATTCAAAGATAAAAAAAAAAAAAAAACACATCATAGTGAAATGAATTCCTTTCAGCTTCGAATCGAAGCTAAAAAAGTACAGAATGTTTGCTGAAACGAATATTATTAAGTCAATAATTTCAAGTTAATAAATAAANAAAAATTGCATTTCAATGTTAATTTTAATTTTAAAAATGTCATTTTTTTACAAAAACAAAAAAAAAGCCTTTTTAAAAATTACTTAAAAAATTAAAAATACTATTGTTAATTACTAGACATGTTAGAAGACCTGATAATGAAAAAGTAGTGAAATTTTCAAGTCTTTAGTATTGACGCTTAATCCAAATAAAAGAAGTTGGCCGCACAGTTGATTTGTAGTAAACACAAAAATAAGACTAATGTAAAGTCTCACTGGTGATTATATGAAACCAGAAGGAAAACTAATGCAAAGCTGCATTGGTGATTAAATAATATTATATATATATATATATAGTTCGTTCTGGCGGGTTTTAATATAACTCCCACATTAGTGATACCGCACTGTAGTATCCGCCTAAGATGTAGAATAAGTCAAAGTCTCGGTACAGACGACGATAAACGTTGTAAAATAAAACAAACCAAAAGGCAGAAAAAAGAAACAGAGAACACAAAACGGAGTCGTGTAACCAGTTAGGTGTACGTCGAAAACGGAACAGAACTAGTGATGGGTCGTTCACAAACGAACGGGTCATATCAGTGAACGAGTTGATCCGGATCGCAAAAAAAATAGATATCGTTCATTCGTTCATACGTTCGTTCGTTTCACGCAATATATCGGACACACTGTTTCATGATTCGTTCATTTACTGAACGTTTACCTGCACTTCGGTTAAAACCTATGCCTAACCTTATATTCTTATAATATAAAAATTTAAAAAAAAAACGAAGAATATATTCTTTATAAGTATATACTTGTTGCGCCATGACACTCCTAAATTAACGGTTGGCGTCAATAACTTATAAGGATCATGTGGACCGATAATACTTAACCTAAAAATTAAGTACATAACCTTTAAATGATTAGTTTATATATTTAAATGATGTTGTGGCCTTATGAGCTAAGGGATACAACAAATACTCTCTCTGGTGTTTGGGTATTGAATGATGCTATAGCTGATCTGCCTCCTTCATGAATCACATGAGCTGTACATTGACTTGTTCATCTGAGCTGATATTCTCCATTTCATTGAATCCTCTGCACAGGACAGCAGTACTTTAAAACTGTAGAATAGTGTCTACATTGTTCATAGCAACAATGTGGGTTTTATTTGAGAGCACAATTATGAACAGAGCACTGTATGAGCTTAGTTAATAACCATCTACGGTATGTAGAAGTACGTAGAGCACGTTAAAACGGGATCCCACCTTTGCCACGAACTGATGATGCTCCGACATTTACATACTTCGACATTTGACGAAGTAGTAATTATTACGAACATCTGGTACTCCGACTATATGATACCATAGGTAACTATAACCACGACGGATTTTACTTCGACATTTAATAAAAAATAAAATGTGGTAAAAACTCCGATATATCGATAGTTTAATTAGTTCGATTATGCATTGATAGTTGTGTTATATTTTGATTGTATTGTTACATAATAGCGCGCATCGATCTATTGCGTAATACATTTTAGTGACGCCTTTGTGCATGTTGCAACGTCAGAGCAAGTGACTCTAACGTTTTTATGTTTTGAATTCTTAATGGGTAAGTACATACTACATTATTAAATTAATCATATTATTATTAATAATGATATAAAATTTAATTAAATATTTCCTTTTAAATCAATATTTATTTGCTACTGTAGTTATTATACAATAGCATACATTTTGCTTATTATTTTCTGTTACATTTTCTATAACAAATATGTTCTGTAGAAATTTTCAGTGCAATTATATTAGTGATTAATTCTTAAATGTGAATTATTTGAAAATAATGACTGATATAAACATAAAATTGTTAATATTTGTACAATAAAAGTGGGTTGTTCTGTGGTAAATTGGGTATTTTTGTCTAATTTGACCACCCGGATAAGTGTCAAAATTCTAACTATGATGTGAAAATCACTGGTGAAACACTAACTAACGAGTAGTCGGTCAGATTCCATTTTATATTATACAAACTGTCATTAACAATTAACAATTATTTGATGTTATTGAATTGGTAATGAATAAATGGTATGTATGGTATAATAAACGGATGGTAATAAATAAATACTTTCAAAAATGAATTCAAGTAACAACACTTTCTAGTACTTAAAATATTACATATGAATTAACCAATAACATTTACATAAATTTATAAATTCTAAATATTTACAAAATACATAGGTACACGACAGTTAAAATTAGCAACATTGTTTGAATAATAAATAATATAAAAAGTGTTATAAAGTATATTAGAAAAATTATTCAAATATTTAAAATCTATTACTTGTGATGGTATTTTCACAATTCTATAGATAGCATAATAATAAATAAATAATTTTGGTGTTATACCAATTAAGATAAAAAGATGTGTATAAATATATAAAATGTTTATGGATTTTGGTAATTTATATAAAAGTAATATGTAATTACTAATTAATTTAACACGTATTATTGGAAACAAAATGGTATATAATAACATTAAGTAATAAAAATTTGTACAATATCATCCAGTTTCTTGGCATACATCACATTCATCTGGTGGAATATTCATACAATCTTTGCAGTACCAGCCATGACCACAGCTCTTCAGCACATAACGAATGCCATCCGGAGCATCACTGTAACATCTCAAACACAACAGGCAGCGTGTTCCCGTTGGATCCAAAAGACTGTTTCCAATGGGTGACACTTTTAAATCTATGTTCAAAAAACAGTAACTTTTGCGAATTAGTCATTTCAGTTCTGGGTAATCTAGTTGAGAATGCATACCGTTATATCCATGCCTATTTTGGATGTCGATTTTCAGAGGTTCGATATCTTGACATTTACAAATAGAGCATGTTTTGAGCCTGGCTAAGCATCTTCAACAGCACCATCCATGGCCACAAGGTACTATAACATTAATGGAATCCACCTCTCTTCTCCATCCCTGACATACAATGCATTGATCATTGGGTTCTTCATCTAAAAATATTTTGTGTTTTAAGTGTGTTATAATTTGTAACATTTGATTTTTAAATTTAATGTGCCATTAAAAAATAGAACTTTGATCTAACAATGAATTCTTTATTACCAGGATTTATTGCAATTAGCCGCTTTCTCGGTTGGCCACTAGTAGAAGGTTACATACCTTACATCTGTGTAAAAAAAATATATAATACTTAAAATTTTAATTTTCCTTGAAATTTTATTAATAAAAAAAAAAAAATCTAATTACCTGTTCCTGTTAGCCCAATGTCAACAATCTAAAAGAAATATATATTTTTTTATTTCAATGAAAATCATTTAATTAGATTTTAAAACCATGCACAATACCTTCATCGTTTGGACCCACTTCAACTATCTCAATCTCTAAACGGTTACATTAAAAAATTAATCTTGTTTTTTATTATATATTCACTATTATGATTACAATTCAGTTACCTCCAAATGCAGGCAGCTGTGGCAAAGGCTGTGGAGGATGAGTCTGAGAGTTTCTGCTGCCCCTTGGTCTTCTTCCTCTTTGACTTCTGCGTGTTGGGCTCTGGCAAACAATGTTAATGCCTAATATTTTTGTAATAAGTAAGTTAAAAGGTAATTATGATTAAATCAGACCTTATTATACTTATAATTTATTTAATCAATGCTCTAATATTAATGTTTATATTATAATTTTTTGTCTGAGATTTGTAGCCGTTGATAAAAATTGTCAGTTATTTTGAAAATATAATTATTTGTGTTAGGATATTATATCTTGTTTTAATATAGTTTAATTAAGCCTAGTTTATAGTCAAATATTTGAATTTATACGTATAACATTTACTATACGCTTTAGAGTTATGAGCCTCAAGGCTAAGTATAAACCAGTTACTCAGTCAATCCACATGTGTAATTATTTATTTATGTTAGATACTTGTAGTAAGATTTAATACTTATGATTTTTTTGGTCAAATTCTCTAAGTATTCAAAAAGAAAACCATAAATTTGTGTTATTTATAAATTAAAATTTAATATTCTAAGCTTTACAAGTAAGCTTCTATATTACTTTAGATTTATTACTTTAATATCCACTTTTACAGGTCGTGTATCCTCATCAACCTTAATATGCAAAAATCAATCAAGCTATTTATTTATTAATTATTTAAATTATCATAAACATTAATGTTGTTTTTCATACCCTCTACAACAACTGGTCTCTGCTGTGTGCTGCCTGTATATCTTCTTCCAGCCCGCCGTCCGCCTTGTCTACCTACTCTTGTTTGTATAGACACATGAGATCTACTTTGGATAATCCCGATCGGCTGGTCACTGATTGGTGGTGGACTTAAAGGTGTAAGTGTCAGTGGTTGCGCAGGATTTTCATCTAAAGTCACAGGAAAATAACATTTTAAAATGTATAGACTGCATGGAAAAATCATTGTCGAATGATATTTTCTCAAGCTGATAGTTCTGATCTAGAGTAGAGATTGTACTTCTAATAATATAAAAATATAATTGTACTAATATATTGTCCTGTAACATTGATTTTGGTTGACATAATTAGGTACTACCTGGCTTAAAATTGATACTGGTTACGCTAATTTATACAAGAAGTTTGTTTAATTTTCATAGCTATATATAATATACTTGGTTATAAAGTTATATTATTTAAATTGTTTTATAATTTACCTGTTTTATTACCTTCATTGGATTTATAGTAAGATTGCTGGTATAAAATATATATCTAAGCCGACATTTTCTTTTTTAACACATGATTTTAGTGAATCAATTATAAACTATGATATTAAAATATATTCATTTTTTACCAATAGGTATTGGTCCAACATGGCCCTCCCAGTAACCGTGGGCTGCATTGGCCACTCTTCTCAAAAAGGCAGACACGTCATAACGACCCAAAACTATCTGCTGCATAGCATTGGCAATCAGACCATTATTTCTATCTCTACTGGTAAGTCTGAATCTACGAACCTCAAAACAAAACAAGTATGTAATAATATCAAGTATGCATAACCAATTTTTTTATTTTTAAATTTGATTTACTTGTTGGCCGTTAATAGTTTGATAAAATTCCCTTCTGACCCTCTTCTCAAAACAACGTAACTTTTCTGTTTTAAATTCATAAATGTGCAAGTTACATTATTAGTGTAATAATAAATTATAATGTTATTTATAATTTAAATATTATATTCATTTGTATATTTATGTATTGATGCTATTTTATTTAGTGTTATCTGCAATAAAAATAACAAATTATGTAATTTATTGTATTTATATGTCTAAGTACCATAAAATGGCCACATTGGTGAATGACGCCCAAACATTGTAAGGAGAGTACTGTGGAAACTTTCCAAGTAATTATTTGTACGTATGCTGAAGCCATAAACTGAGAATCCTTGAGGTCCAATTGTGTCTATCCAATAATTTTGGATATAGTGCAATAGGACCTCAAGGTCAAAAAAAAGGTTCACCGCTACTGCCAGAGTTATTATTTGTGCTAACCCACCAGTTATCTGAAAAGACTCTGGAAGGTCATCAATCGGTTCTGGAGGCAAATGAGGTAATGCCATGATCTGAAGAGAATTAAAAAAATGTAATATGTTCACAATCAATAGCAAGTAAATTTAAATACCATTCTAACTATTGTTGCTGCGTGATAGTTGGTTTTTACCAAATCGAGCAGATTATGTGTTTGTATATATCTAATAATACACTGAAATAAAATTAAAAAAATTATTTATGAAATTTATCCTTAAATCATGCTGATAGATATGAACTTCAACCTGGTTGAAGTGAAACCAGCACCCTATTAAAGTGCTTTCTGGCGCCACTCTTTTAACAGCATTCCTCATTGCTGTTTCAAAGTCTGTAATTACAACAATACTCTCCCAGTTTATCAAAGAAAATGGCAAATCACCCTCAAAAATGGCCATAACCTAATGTACGCTGCTTCTGTTCTGCTATTCATTAAAGCATAAACAACAGGAATAGACTGGAATAATAAATAACAGTGATAATTTACTAATGTATTCCAAAAAGTAATTATTATTAATTAAATAATGATTTTTTTTTATCTCACTATATTGTCCATAATGATATGAATTGTAACCAGCTGTTCTATATCACTTGGACTTTTGGGCAGCACTCCAAATGTCCCATCTACGGCTACCATATTAGATGTCCTCAAATAAGGGGCATAGTTTCCTAAAAAAGAAAGATTGGCAAAAACTAGACCAACAAATATTTCTTCCTGTCCGTTGAGGTACATCAGAGGACCTTGGTAGAATGGACTATTATCGTCCAGAACTGATATGAGCCTACCAGTCCACTCTTCAGACCTGATAATCTCCCCCACATTAACCAGAGATGTTGGCACAGGAGGTTGGTTTTTCCTCCATACGTTCCTCATCATCCTTAGTGAGCACTCTGGATTTTTTTCGCATTAGGATATCTAAGTAAAAAAAAAAACCCAGCACAGTGGGGTCGCGGCATAGTGGGGATGTTGCATAGTTGGGTCCAGTATAGATTTAATCTGACAGTGATTAAAATCACTATCATAAGAAACGCTTCGATGCAAATCAGTAGATAGTGTTTAATTCTAAGAAATTGGTGGATAATTACAAAAGCTACATTATCTGCTAGTTTCTTATTAATACCCTGATTAAGATAAAGTATGTCGAATGAAAAAGGGATTATTAAAAAATATTATTTCTCATAAAAAAATTGTGTTGATTCGTACACTTTTCAATGAGTTATAGCATTATAAAGTTAAAAATGTAACCAACCCAACCCAACATCAACTCCTATTTCCTTAATTATATCCAGATTAGTAATTATTTTAATTATATATTATATAATTTTTATAATTAATTATTTTCAAATTATTATTGATTTTTAATATGTTAAAAGTAATCATTTTGAACCTACTTCTTTTTGTTCTTTAAAGTGAAAGTTTTAATAAAAAAAAAATGAATTTATTACCATAACTTTTAACTCAACTTGCAAGTTTGAAATAAATATTATTAAATAGAAAAAAAT